GATCCCCTCCTGAAGAGGGGATCGGCTGGCTTTCAAAGCTTGAGAAGTGCTCCCCAATTCCCACCTAGATTTTCTGGGAGCAAGTTTCCAGTTTGGTCTGGAACACCTGAGCACAATCCTAAGAAAGCTCTCTTGCACAACTCCTGTGGAAGTGAATGTGAGAGGGACAAGGGCACAGGAGACGCTTGGGCAACTCCCGCTCGGTTCAGGAAAGTCGAACAGGAAAGTGCTGGTTGAGATTAGTCTTTTAAAAATGCGGACAAATAGAGGAGCACCAACCAGTCAAAGTTGGCTGTCTCCTGAGCTGACCTTTTATAAACACGGATTGCCAAAAAGCTGAGTGCATCAAGCTGCGTTGTGTCAACTCAGACCCTTGGTCCATCTAGCCTAGTTCTGTTGACACTGGTTGGCAGCAGCTCTCTGGGGATTTAGGTAGTTCTTCCATCTCCACCGGGAGAGGCTGGGGACTGAACCTTGGATCTTCCCATGTAAAGCAGGGCCTGGACCTCTGAACTACCAGGGTGTAGTTGGGTAGGTGACTAATCATAAAAAAGCATATTGTAATCATGGTGGGAAAAGCACAGAGTTTGCAAAACAAAGAATAAATACCAGTCTAAAAAAGAGATAGTGCTTGAAAAAGAGAGGAAATCCATGTGATATTGGAGGGATTTAGAACGAGGGATAAGAATCCCAGTTTTCTGATAAAACATTTTTCACATTTTTCTATCCCTCTCCTTAGCAGAATATAAATTATTGTCCAAGCATACAAGAAACAGAACCAGAGAGGTGGGGGGAGCTCTAAACTGCTCAGCAGTTCCTAGGAAAATTCCGGCTTTATTTTTTTGCCCGCTCTTTTCATTTGGGCAGTCATCCAATTAAATCATTTTGGGTTTCTATTTATTTTAGAATCATTATTTTCCTTTATAGCTGCAAGAGACTCGCAAAGTAGTTCACCAACAGACATCGATATAAAATTGCAGGAAATTCTCACCAGAACCACAACTGAGATCCACAAAATCAGTAACATAATTATCTAAAAATAGCAAACACCCTGTTAGTCAGGAAACGTCTGCCTACAAAGCCATGTCTTGGGGATGAGACTGAACGTCGTTAAGCAGCGGGATCCTTCAAGAGCAAGTTCCGGAGGCCTGTTCTTGCTTCCTCATAAAAGGACCTCCCCAAATATCTTCCAGCGCAGCAACGAGAGAATGCTCATGTATGTCGCACACAAATACAAGTGTTCAATCACCCGCGATTTAATCGATTCCTTTTTAAAATGAAAGACCTCTTCCCATTCCTCCATTCGAAGTCTGCCATAGCCTCCTGAAGAGTGTGTATTTCTAACCTGTTGCTTTATTTATTTGAGTAACTGCCTGCCTTTTTCTTTCTCAAAGCACTCAAAGCGGCTTATATCATTCTCCTCCTCCTTTTTCCAATCTTATCCCCACAACAACAACCCTGTACATGGCTGGCTCCCAGTCGCCCAGCTGGCTCCTTGGTCACGCAGGGACTAGAACCCAGATCGCCCAGATCCCAGACCGGTGCTCTTAACCACTCTGCCACCTGGCTCTCCAAGCTAGTAAAAATTGCAAAGGTAGTGCCTGATGGAAGTGGAAAATTAATATTTCAGTGGGAGGGAAGGAAAGGGCAAATTACAGCCTTATGTGCTAACTACATGCACTAAGAGCACGATCCTACACATGTGTAATCAGAAGTAAGTTCAGCTGTGCATACTCCCAGGAACTCCCAGGTACAGGATTGCAGCCTAATGCAGGGAAGAGAGTGGAAGAAATTTCTTAAAAATGAGGAGCATCCTATACCAAGTGGTTGCGTACATGGCAACCGTCAATCTTCTAGAAGGCTTACTGTATACTCTGTAGTACAAAACAGAGCTGATGGACTGAAGCAATGTCAGTGCATAGTAACGGCTTCCATATTGCAATTGAGATGTTTTAATACTAGTGAGATGGGAGAGCAGATGTGCAATCGAGCCTGTATCTCTAACTTGGTGTAGACAAAACATTTCCCAGTCTCTTAACATTTCCTGTCTCTTAACCATGGTTATGTATATCCTTGGTTCACTCCTCTGTAGTTCAACACAGAGGCTGACTGTGCTGGGTTTCACTTTAGCAAGTCTCCAGTTTGGAGCCTACAGAATGAGTAATGTTTTCTACTATTAAATGCCTCAACATTGTGAGCCGCCCCAAGGCTTCGGCGAATGGGGCGGCATAGAAATGTTTTAATAAATAAATAAATAATAAATAAAAACTTGTGGTGCTTGCTTTGAGTTTTGAATTCATATACTTTTGCTCAGTAAAGTGGTCAGAGTGTTGCAGGGAATCATTGAAACTTGAGCTTGCCAAAGTTCTCCAAATTCCGTAACGAAACCTGTTCTGATTCAGATTACAGACATTTATTTTGCACGTATGCAAATACATGCAAGGTTTGGTGCAAATTTTTCTGAATGTTTGCATCATTTGTATGTGTCGTTCAAGTGTATCTATTTTATTCTCTGGGATAAAGCATATTTTTGTCAGAATTTGCAAGGTATGTATTTTTCAAGTGCATGCTACTAAACACATTTTTCCATGTTGGTGAATCACACTGGAAGCTTGGATATGTAAGGACTCTGACCCAGGTAGCCTCTGGGCTCATGTTTGGTCTAAAAGGAACACACCAAATACATATGATTAAAAATGAACTAAAACAAATTTCTCACCCCTTTCCAGGTAACTGTTTATATTGTGCTGTAGGTTTTTTTTAAACACAATACACAATGAAAACAGTAATAGCACATTAAAAATAGACAGCCAAGCAGGCTTAAATTGGTTAAGCTTAATTTTGGGTTCGCTTGGACCAAACTAACTGGACTATCAGTAAACCCTGAAGAAGATAAACAAGGGTTATTTCAGTGGAATCACATCCTTTTCAGTTATTTCTGTGCTCACATGGTATCTAGGAATTGTGCAAGGGGAAGGGAACAGAGTCAAGTGGTGGAACTAAGGAGACCTGAGTTCTAATTGCCATTCTCTCTCTGTGTATCTCTCAGGGTTGTTGGGAGAATAAAGGGGACGTGAGCCCTGAGCTCGCCGGAACAAGGGTGGGATAGAAGCCAGACAGACAAAATGCAGAACATTTTACATGAACAATTAATTGTGCTTCTCTTTTAAAAATATGTACTTTACAAACTTGATATTTAATTTTGTTTAAAAATTTTTTCCTAAAGAAAAAGAGCATGTGTTTATGGTTGCTCAACTCTGCAATTATTTAACCTTTCGGAAGATTAAATATTCAGAAATGTATACGTGGCTATTCAATGAAGAGTGCTCCTGCTTTTGTGGTCATCAGGGGTCTTAGCTCAGTAGTTCTGCACCTGCTTTGCATCCAGAAGATCCATCATTTCAGGAAAGCCCTTCTCTGTCCAAGACTTGGGTTATTATGGGGTTGGTCAACCCATGAACAACCCCAAATTCCTGCTTGGATGTCATGGTAGGAGCCCTCAAATTCTGTATCTGAGGATTGTTAAAGCAAACAGGAATTGACTTGCTTGCTTTGCTTCAGCTCAGTGCGTATCCCTCCAGTTTGTGGGTTAAATAACCCAGGATTTGCCACCAGACACCATCATTACATCTGAACAGATGTAAGGCAGAATTTGGAGATTCATCTATTCCTATGAAAGAAGCCAAAGCTGGCAAGTCGATTGCCAAACTTAAAAACAGTTTGACAAGAAAGCAGTGACAGTGAAGGAGGACACAGAGAAGATTCAGGATTTCAGAAATCCTGACATATATTTGTGCAAATGACCACAAGGGGCATCTCAGAAAAATCAGCTTCATCATCTGCCAACTTTGTTTCTAAATAGTCATCTGGAAGCAGAATGCTAATTTGGGACTGTACAGAGAATTAAACTTAGGGATTTGGTGCAACAAACAGACAGACAAACCCCATTTCTGATATTTTCAGCTATAAATCATGTGGAATTTGATGCATGGTTCACTGCACTGACGATGCGGAAAACGGACTTCAAAAGAAAAGCACTCATGATTTCTGTCTCAAAAAGCTAGGCCACCAGAGAGATGTTGTAGAACTGCATGTTCTGAAGAACTCAGAGCTGCTGCTGAAAAAGCGGTCTTGTATCAAGTGACCTCCGTAACACCCAGAACAACTTAACACATCTTCTATTGTCTATGGTGCATGGATCCGGAAATGGCTACGCTCCATGTTTTCGTATTACAGCACTGGGTGCTATTCTTGGGGTGGGAAATCACACATCCCAGCCTTGACACAGGGCTTCCATTTTCAGTGGCAGTGTTGTGTTTTTACAGTGTGTTCTTCCTACCAATAGTGGGTTGATTTGTTGACACAATCTGCCTGCCACTGTTGCCGCAGGAGCTGTTCAAGGAAGAGCTGACATTTAAAAGCATTTGTGTCCATCCACAATAGCAACACAGGTTCCACCCCACTTGCCCCTAAAGCAGAGGTAAGAAATATACCTAAAAAACATGGACATGAATGCAAATTGAGGAGAAATGCTATGACATTCCCAGTTCAGCCAAAGACAGAACTGACAGTGATACAAGGCATGCCTTTTTGAATGCTATTTGATCTTAAAGCGAGGCTGAATTCAAGGCCCAGACACGGCAAAGCATCCTTACGGAAAACTTTGCAGCTTCTCCTGCAGCTTCATAGATGTTGATGCCTGCAAATTGCTCTGCATGGCTTAGAAGGGGAAAAATGGTTTAATGGGTGAATGCAGAAGACCTTCCAATAAGAACACCTCTTGTATAAGCTCATGCTTTGGGATGCTTTCAGAGGCACCAGATAAATTTTTTTTGTCTCGCCACTGGACAAAAAGTGTTAGAAATCCAGCAGCAATGTTAAAGGGCGCTTTTGAAAATATGCTGTCTTCTGCAATATGAGCCACAGCAATGGACTCCAACTCTCCGTAGCGGGACAAGAGCGATCCCGGGAAAAGGACCAACGGGACAACGTGCAAATACCTTCCTCGCAGCTCTCGCCCTTGTAACCGGGGTTGCAGATGCAGGTTCCCATGATGCAGGTGCCGTGGCTGCTGCAAGAGACATCGATGCACTGGCTGGTCGGAACGTCGCACTCGGCCCCTTTCCATCCACTGTGGCACAAGCACCGGCCCTTCATGTACTGCCCGTTGCCGCTGCACAGCACCGGGCAGGAGGCTAAGGAACGACAAAGGAGGGAAGTCGGACATCTTCGCATGCAAGAGGCTAGCATTCTGCAACGAGGCATTTTGTAAAAGATTAAGCGCACGGCTCCCAGTGTTGCTAGGAAAATAATGCCCACGGGCTACCCCGGTAGATCTCACACCCTCTTTTCAAAAACTGCGCCCATTTATCACCCCAGTGAGCTGGCATCCTACCCTCCATGCAGTGGGTGGAGAGACTTGTGAATTGATGGAGATTTTCAGTGCTGCGCTGGGGGAACACCAGTTGGCTGGGAGCCACAGACTGCCCCTTCTGGGGCTTATCCTCAGCCCAAAGGGCACCCAGCTCAGTGCCCCCTCAAACCTGGAGCTGGCCTTGTCCAAAGTACTCTGAATCCTGTGGGTTTTGACAAATTATTTTGGTTTCTTGTTTCACTGTTGAGCAAGTAATGTCGGTTGTTCAAGTTCCCCAGTTAACACAGGACACGATCCTGTGCTCGGTACCCAGAGACGGTTGAACCCTGTCTGGGAGAATCAAGCTGGACCGCAGAGGGTTTTCTGCACCTGTGCTGTAGGGTGGACATTTCGGCCCTTGAGAAAGTGTGGGGCAGTAAAAGCAAGGGAAGGACTGTTGCTCTGTAGCAGCTTTGCTTTGCAGGAGACGCCACGTCCGACCCACAGCTGGGCAGGGCGTGATCCCCGGTCTGAAACGGCAGAGAGCTCCACCATGGGCAAAAGCAAGGTATTGTCCAAAGCTGGGCAGACCCAGACTCAGGATAGCAAAACTGATTGAGGCCTACTGAGACCACTTTTGTGGGTGAAAGATTCCATTGGCTCCATCGCTGGGCCGTGCTGACCGGGTATTACATAGCAACAACACCTCTTTCTTTTCTAGAAAGTCTTTGCAAGGTGCCAATTGGGAATGTTAAAATGGTATGCTTGGGTGTTTTTACTCATTTTGTACTGTATGGTTTCATGCCTGAATGTTTATGTAAAGTCTTGAGCTCTTCTTCAGGAGAGAGGCGGGCTGTGGCTGAAGCGAAGACAGAGGGAAGAGACAGGGAGAGCAAGAGACTCTTTGACCAACAGCCTGTTCAAGGGACATTTGGAGCACCTCAGGTAAGACAGTGTCAGGGCCAAAGGTCACCTGAATTAGTGCCGGGGCCCTCCCTTCTACGTAGCCCTGCGACAACCTCTGCACAAAGCTAAGGTAACCTCGGAGGCTCATGCAAGGCGAGACGTGGCTCAGAGACCCCCTTATGGATGGCTGAGGACGAAAGGTCAGCCTCAGCCCCACCAAGCTATTGACAGAGGCGTCGCTGGAGAGGCGATCAAGCCCAGCCCTCGCTAAGCCCCTCGGCTGAATCGCTTGCCCTTCTCGGTGGGCCCTTCTTCCCAGTCTTTGCTCACGTGCAGCAAACAACAGGAAGGCGGGGGAGCCGCATGGGGAGGGCTATGCCTGCAAAGGCACAACGGCTAGTAAACTGTCAGGCCCACGCGACCAACAGCTTTTCACTGCCGCCTTCCCCAATCTGGTGCTGAAGGCATGGCTCGAGTTGCGATCCGAGACTGTACCAGGCTGGGTGGTGGCGGGGGGGGGCGGCGGCGGCGGGGTGTCTGTTGAACTACACCATATTCTGTTTACTGGAAAACAACTGCTGTACTCGGAGAAACTACTCCTGTTTTGTTAGTTGATCAAAATAACGCGTCTAATAAGAATTGCTCACTGTGAAAAAAAGGTAGTTATTACTAATGGAAAAAAGTTGGAGTATTTACTGATCACGCTTCTGCACGCCACGGCAGCATGCATATTTTCGGTGGTACCCTGTTTGCAAACTAGTTCTTTTTAAGTCCTTTAAGTCAATAATATCAATACAATTAAATATTGTTAATATTATTGTAGTGGCAGTGACTGCAGTAATAGTGTCATTCACATTTCTACACTTCTGAATAGCCAAAGCTATTTTTCTTTTTCATTTTGGTTTTGCACCTTTGCGGAGAATGCCTTTTGAGTTAGGACTAGTGCTGGTGTTTGAGGTTCTGGACACCAGTGACTGCTCAGAAGGAGCGAAGTGAATGCACCATGGAAGCAGTTTAAGGCCTGGGGCATTTAGATGTGGTCCCATGCCCTGCAGAAAAACATAGTGCAAGAATATGAGATGGTGCAGAACTCCTCAAGGAGTAAAACCGAGAGTTCTTCCCTGAGGGCTACGCTTGCGCCTGAAGACTCATTTCCGATTGGCCAACTGGAGTTGTGGGCTGGAGGGAGCAAGGGTCACCAGAAAAGCGACTCCAGAGGGACCTGGCCAGGGTGCCTCTGCAGAAACCTGGTCAGAGAGGGACACTGGCCCTGGGCGCAACCTTGCAGCATCCTCTCTTTTCTGGACACCTTGCCAGGATAAATCTGGAGCTGCCGAGAATTTTTACATGGACAGTGCGGCAGCAGGGCTGCTGACCTTTTCTTGGAAACTCCTTTCTTAGGGCTGGGATGAGCCCTATTGGAATCCGTCCCTGCAGGCCCTGCTGGGCTTCTTGCTGCACTGAACCCCATCATCCACAGTGAGCTGAGCTGAGAGGAAATCTGCAAATGCTTGTGGGCCACTCTCCACCCAAAGAGGGTGAAACGGACCAGAACCAGGGATCTGAGCCCAGGGAATCCGACAGACCCCTAGCCCTGCATCCGCCGAAGTGGCCCCCCCAAGCCCACGCCCCGGGACTGCTCTGTCACTGCCCTAGAACAGCAACGGGAACAAAAGAGATGGCTCCAATCCTACCTCGGCCACAATCCGGACCCAGGAAGCCCAGGAAGCAGCGGCAGTTGCCGGAAACACAGTCACCATTTCCATAGCAGTTCCTGGGGCAACTGTCCACCGACTCTGTGATAGGAAGAAACAGAGAAAAGGAGTTGTTGCTGCTAGTCTGAAGTCATGCCCAACCCATCGCGATCCCGTGGACAACATTCCTGCAGGCCTTCCTGTCCTCCACCATCCCCGGAGTCCACCTAAGCTCACGCCGACTGCTTCAGTGACTCCATCCCACAGAGTCTACCCGAGTTCACACCCACCTCCCCAGTGACCCCATCCAGCCACCTCAACCTCTGCCGTCCCCTCCTTCTTTTGCCCTCAATCCTTCCCAGCATCAGGCTCTTCTCCAGGGAGTCCTTCCTTCTCATTAGGTGGCCAAAGCATTTGAGTTTCATCTTCAGTAAAGGCAAAGTCAAAGGAGGAAAAATGATGCAGAGCTCAGTCAGTCATACAGGTGGCCGGATTTGCCTCCAAGTTCCCATTAGGGTAGGGAGACGGGCGTGGGGATGCATTCACACGGCCAGGGAGACCTCGCCTGTGCGAGCTGCAGCCACTCCAGCAGGGCTCCTGCTCTGCTCAGAAACATCATTTATTTGCTTTTACTGCATTTGCATTTATTCATACAGTCATGTGCTTGCCGCCATTGCCTGACCTTTTCCTTACCTGTTTCTGCTGAGTGTTGGTATAGCTGGATGGCAGCACATGCGGCTGCTCGGAAGGCCCCAGTGAAATGGTTTATTTATTTATTTGTTTATTAATATTTATTAAAACATTTTTATGCCGCCCCATTCGCCGAAGCCTCGGGGCGGCTTACAACAATTAGTTAAATAATCATAATTAAAAATATAAACATTAAAATAAAATACATACAATATAAAGTAAGCCACCCTGGCCAGATAAAATTCAATAACATTAACATTTAAAATGCTGCTTAAATAAAAAGGTCTTCGCCTGGCGCCGAAAAACAAATAACCTGGCCCAGGGTAAACATGTTATGCTTTAAGGTGACTGGGACCTTTTACTATCCCTTACCAGGGCATGTTCTGCCTTCCCTTATTCAATGTGCCATGACATGCTCGACCCCCAAAATTTGACTTCACCTGTCTCATTTGTCCCGTCCCCCCACTGGTTGCATCCACACCTTAGTTTTCTTCCAAGGATCCAAAGATGGTTCTCCACTTTATCCTTACAATAATAGGGGAGATGGTTAGGCTGAGCATCTCTGACTGGCCCAAAGACATGAAATGAGCTCCATGGCCAAAGAGGACTAGAACTTGGGGTCAGCCCAGTCCAGCCCCAGAGTTAACCACTATACCATGCTGTCTCTCATCAGCTGTTCCACACGTACTTCTGCTTCTACCCCAAAATTCTGCCCCCCAGCAGCCCCCACTTGGGTTGCTGCTGTGCTTTTTCATTCTGATAAATACACCCTACTTGTCATGAGGACTAGAACCAGTTCTCCTCCAATGAATAAAGATGCTCCATGTCTTGAAAGCATTATCTATTGCCATACCAGAACAAAAATACTCTGCGTGGAGTAGATTAGCAGCCCTGCAGAAATCAGGAGACCAGTCACCGTGACCAGGTAGCTTTCCCCATTCACTTTCAGAGAGGGGAAATTCTGTGTAACCCCGTTTGTGCATAAAAAACAGACTCTCCACTAAGCCAAGGGGAGAATTGTTAAAGCCAGCACTTGACCCAGAACGCCTCTGCTAGAAATTAATAAATTAGCACGCTTGTGCATTGTGTATTTTCTAGTGTGTTTGTTTGGGAAATCCCTGCTTTATGACTGATGCCACTGAAGTTGGTTAAGAGTACCGAATCAATATACTATCAGTATCAAAACAATCAAGAAAGTCTATTTAAAATCACTGACTTAATAATGCTGAACATAACCACAAAATATTAAAAACCCCTCTAGCTTCTTAAGTTGTCGGTCAAAGGATACAATTCTATTCCACACATCATGTAATGCTTTTGCTAGATATTGGTAGAAATTAGGATTCGAGACACTAAACACCAACTACATCTTGTATACAAAAAGCAAAAAGATAAAGGAAAATTTGTCTTACATTCTCTGTTTTGTTTTAACAACGAGGTTAAACTGTTAATGTTTACCATTTTCTTTTCATGAAGAAAAAAAAATATAGCCTATTAAATGTTAATTTCCCCCCAGAGAGAATAAAGACAATTTTTATGATTTCTTAACATATGTTTGCATAAAGACAGGGTACTATTGTCTGTGCGGGACGTGGAGAAATGACAAAATAGCAGGGTTTGTTTGAATCTATTGTTTCTGATCCTTGCTAAGTGTAATGCATGTAATATTAAAATAGGATGTAATTATACAGGAGTGGCAATAGCTTAGCTGGATTCATTTTTCACTGAGACAGGTGAGAGAGAGAGAGAGAGGCGGTGGTTGGGAAAGAACGCCATACTTTTAAAGGCCTTTTTTCAGATTTTTGTGGCAATGAAGCCATTTGTAAATGTTCTTACTTCTTCCCTGGCAGTGAAATTAGCTGTTGAACTACTTACTGTAAATGGAAATGGTATTCAGAACATGGTGGGTCTTTCTAGGTTACTGGAAGAAAGAGGTTGACCACTGCACTCTTGCTCAAAAACTATTTGTAGGGAAGCGTGACAGCAGATGAACTGTCTCATGCCTGATTTAGACATGCATTTCGAATTCAGCAAAAGGGAAAGTTGTGTAAAATGCACGTGGACACAGCACAAAAATCCCCAAATTTGCACCAATCTTCCCACAGGCTACAGCAGAGGCGGTTCAGAAAATTGCCCAAACTGAATAGGAAAGTCAAATTAATGAATGTTTTGTAATTTGCAAACATTTTCAGCACAAACACTGCAGAGCTCACCGACAGGGTAAGCGCATATATTTTCCGAGAACAAATGAAAGTCTCATAAAACCCTTGTTGCTTGTGCTAGTTCAATCCGGCACCGGGATCATGATATGGAATCTTCATTAAATGGAGGGGTTACAAATTAATTTGAAGAGGGATGCCTTTAGCCCTTCATAGTTTTTAATTAAAGCTGTGCAGATGTGGAGATAAACCCAGATTTAGCTGTACACTGAGTAGGCCACAGAAACAGGTGGGGCTTAATTTAGTCATGACTAACTTAAGATGCTCTAGACAACATACTAAAAAGCAGAGACATCACCCTGCCAACAAAAGTGTATATAGTCAAGGCTACGGTTTTCCCAGTTGCAATGTATGGCTGTGAAAGCTGGACCATAAGGAAGGCCGAGTGCCGAAGGACTGAGGCCTTTGGATTGTGGTGCTGGAGGAGACTCCTGCGAGTCCCTTGGACCGCAAGGCGATCAAACCGGTCAGTCCTAGAGGAGATCAACCCCGACTGCTCTTTAGAAGGCCAGATCCTGAAGGTGAAACTCAAATACTTTGGCCACCTAATGAGAAGGAAGGACTCCCTGGAGAAGAGCCTAATGCTGGGAAGAATTGATGGCAAAAGAAGGAGGGGATGGCAGAGCATGAGGTGGCTGGATGGAGTCACTGAAACAGTCAGTGTGAGCTTAAGCGGACTCCAGGGATGGTGGAGGACAGGAAGGCCTGGAGGAGTGTTGTCCATGGGGTCGTGATGGGTTGGACACGACTGCGCGACTAACAACAAACTTAAGATGCACTGATTGCAACAAGTCTACTGTAAGAGTGATTAATGGTGCAATCCTGTGCAAGTTTAGACCCCCAAGAAGCCTACAACTCCCAACATGCCTCAGTCTGCATAAGCATGCAACCTTTAGTCTGTATCCCACCTAAGTATCAAGGGAACTAGAGCAAGGGAGTGTCAAGCGCTTCTTTCCTACAGGAAGGACGGAAGGAAAGGAGGAAGAAATGGCCATAAAGATCAGTGTTGTGGAAGAAGGGTAAACTCTTTGCAGGTTTTTAAGGTGAGAATCTTCTTGAGGTTAAGGAACTGTATTGGTTTCACTGTGTCGCCCAGTTGCGTTGTCATTAATAGTCAGCTCCAAGGCCCTTTGGAACAAGAGATGTCACAAGCTGAATCACTACTGTGCTTTTTCCAACACTCCAAGAGACGCTTTGCATGTGAATGCAGGCCCCTCTTTATTTAAGGCATGTTTTGCCTTTGTTTTATTTTAGAGATTTATATGCCCCCCCAAGGAAACGGCACTCCGAGGGCAGGTTTACTATAAATATTCTCGTGTTATTCAGTTGTTTTAAACTTTTAAAAGTGTTCGTACTGCGTTATTATGTGATTATATTTTACAGCTTTTGGTCTTGTTTTGTGAACCGCCCAGAAAGTTCCAGCTATTAGGCTGCATAGAAATGCAATAAAGGACAAGCAACAAAAAAAAAGAACCCTACAACCCTCCATCAGAACTGAGCCGCAGGCATCCTAATCACAGACAGGGAGGGCAAGCCAGAAATTGAGTAGCAAGCCAAGGCCCAGAAGGTTGCATTGCTAAGGCAAAGGCCCAGCCTGAATGCATTTTAGGACTTCCTGCTGGGGACAGAAGACAGCCAGCTGGGGTTGGGGGCAGCCACTCCAGTTCCTGGGAGGTCTTTGGTTCCCAAGAGTCATCGGGGACTCGCTTCCTGGGCACCCTGGGAGCTCCCTCTACTCTGAACGCAGCGTTCAGAAGCAGCAGTCTCGAAATATCCCGGTTTGCAAGCAGGGCTTTTCTAAGGTCCGAGAGTACTGTGGTAAGCTTTCCAAAGAGGTCTTGCTCTGTCCTGCAATTACCTAGGCAGATTACGTTTTCTTTGATCAAAAGGCAATTATACATATTAAAGAGATGGACAAATTGGTTAGACTCCCAATAGATCTTTCTCTTCTCCCTCGTTTTGGATTAATTATCTACCCTTTGGCTGCTGGGTTGCCAGCAGAACAGCAGCCGCTGCAGTATTTCTTCCTTATTTATCTACCAGGTAGCATCAGGTTTAATTACGAGGGGGCCCCTCTCTCTTGGGCTGGAGGCCAAGGCGATGTCTGCCTAATACCAGACCGCATTAGAGGCAACTGCATGTTAAAAGTTACATATTTTATAGCCGCCGTGCCTCATTCACTGGTCCCCAGGC